TATGAATATGAATATGAATATGAATATGAATATGAATATGAATATGAATATGAATAGAAACACAAATGCTAATATGAATAGGCATAAAATTAAAGTAAATAAATTAATTTAACAAACACAAATGAATCAGAAAAGTATGAATAGTGACTACGATAAGTTTTGTTTGCTAGGTTTTAAGAATAATTTTCCAATTTATGTAGGTTTAAAATTCTTGAAAATTTTTTCTCTTCCCCAAATGGAAAGTTAAAAAATTTTCGACCATGTTTGCCCAAATTTTTGGAACATTTTCCCTCAATTAATCATAATTTATTTTTGGTTTATATGGTGTTGGTTCAATTACTGTTAGTGTGCGTGTGCGTGTACGAGTGTGTGTGTGTGTGTGTGTCTGTGTGCGAGTGTGCAGTTAATTTTATTATTTATTTTCGGTTAATACTTAAACAAAAGTCAATTGTTATGCGTTTTAATTATTTATGTTTCGTATTGTGAAATTTGCTATTGCAATTTGCATAGCTTGCGGCTCGGCTTATTTGTTTTGTTCAATAGTTTTTTGTGTGTTTGTAATGTTCGTGGCATTAATATACATAAACACATTCAATTTATTCACATAGTTTAAATGCAAATTTGCATAGATATAGATAAATATGCTTAGCTATAGACACCATTTTAATGATATTGTTTTTTTCGCACACGATTTGCGTACAATGTTTCATTGATTAAGATTTTAATTTTTATTATTTTACGCATACGCAACACATATTTATTTATTTATTTAACAAACATATTGTCATGCTCAAAATATATTTACCGAGAAATAAAAAATAATAAAAATAAAATCTGTAATTTATTGGAATTATGTAGCAGGATCTCCAGCTCCCTCGGCTATTATCTTATATTATTTGCCAATTTTTAAATTTTAAATCTATTTACTTTTCCTGAAAATCCTCTCAGGCCTGCATATCAAATTGAAGCTGGCCTTAGCGGAGCAGCCCCGTTTTTGTTTTGCTACTGTTGTTTGTCCAGGGTATAATAAGGATTTGCACTGTTAATGAATACAAAAATCCCTTAAAGCGCTTGTGAAGCGCCTTTTTAAATTCAAATGCCTTTTGAAATGGAACATACATGACTGCAAGACGAGGTCAGCTTGAGAAGTTGCTAAGTGTGTCAAGCACACTTATAGTTGGTTCAGAAACTGTCCTATGTAGAGTTGGAGTTATATAGAGCTCTGCTTGAGTTTCCACTACAAATATCTATAACTCCTTAATAAAAGTATTTTTTGTAAATATAATACAAATAATAGAATGGACTTTCTATTTTAAACAGATTGAACTTAAATTCTTAAGCATTCCATTCCATTTCTAGTCTTCTCTCTGGCTTCAAGAACTCAGCTCGACAACTCTGCTGGCGACCCTCGTTTACAGTTCATGTGCTGTAAAAGCTTTTTAGATTGCCTTGTCAGTCAGTGCGGGGCATTGCACTCGTGTGTGACCGTTAGCAGAGACGATTTTCATGCAGGCAGCGCATTTTCAATCAACTATTTTCAATGCTATTTGCGCTAACAACGCTTCGATACACAGACTGGGCGTGGTCGTGGACCAGCAGCTCAGTGACATGTGAGTGTGTGAGTGTGTGTGTGTGTGGGGGTGTGCAAAAAGGAAGCAAAAATAATAAATAGAAAACACGATGAGAGCATCGATGTGCCAATCCATATGCATTCGGATTGATAGTTTGATCCGAAATGATATCTCCTGTTCATTACAAATTATGCGGCTTAGGCCAGCAAATATTCTGCTCTAGGTATTTGTATATGAATTTGCCTGGCCTTGGCTAAGATTATTTTAATGCGCTCCAATGAGTTTATCGTCTTTGTTGTCCTCATGCTGTGGCTGAGGCTGTGGCTGAGGCTAAGGCTGTGGCTGTGGCTGCCTCTGCTGCGGATGCGGATGCGGATGCCCGGCAGTGTATCGCAGCCGGGAGGGCTGCTTCATTTAAATACTAAATCGCATTAAATGCCATCAAGTGGAAAATTCCCAAAAGCAATAAATTTATTGCTTGCTGCACAAACGTCCACGATCACGCCCAGGGAACGAGAGTCCAGCCCACAACCATGTGCCGCCTCTCTGCTCTCACTTTTCCTTTCCTTTGCCTTTGCCTTTGCTCTGCCTTCGGTACGTTCCGGCCTTATATAGTGCTTATACAATATTTGCATTATAGCTTACAGACGCTCTGAGCTCGGAGCTGACTGAATGACGGTCTGACTGTGTGACGGTCCTGTCGGTCCTGCTGGCAGCCGGGACGTTCTGTTTATCCTTAGACGGGCCGGCTTTGTCTTTGCGCTGTGTTCCTTGTCCTTGTCATACGCTCGTTTGGTTTTTATCTATCTGCTCGCTCGTCTTTATTTTTTTCTTTTATTTGGCGGAGGGGGGCACAAACTACAAAGACAAATATTTAATTGAATTAGTGCAGCTAGCGTTAAGCAGACAATGCAAGGCCACGCCCACCGCCTATCGTCTGTCGAAAATTTGAATATAGTGTTATGCGAGTCATCAACAGGTTCGTTAAGACGCGACCCCATCGACCCCATCCACGCGCAACCCTTAAGCTTCAAATTCTCATGTTAATTTGTCAATCATCCGCCGTCCGAGCCAAATATACCCTACGATAGAGTTATATAAATCTCTTATGATCTATGTATATATACATTGTAGACTCTGTGCTTAGTCATCTATCGGCGATAAACATTTGCTGAGTCTTAATTGGTTCGGGTTGCGCTCGTTTCGTTGTTTTTCGAACCTTGGCAGTCGCTTTATCAGCTCAGCAATCGCCTGTCTATATAGCTACTCTATATGTGTTTGTATGTGGGTAGAAATGTACAGAGAGTGTGCAGCAATAATTCATTCATGACCCGTTCGAAATGTTGACTAAGCGTATTTCCAGCTGAATTGTAATCAAATGGGTTTGTAATGAAAGCCCTTCTCAGTAATTCTCAAGTAGAAAGCTATTCGATTGTAGATTGTACTCCTTATAGTATAGTATTCTAGTTAGAGAATAATATGCACAATATTATATTATATTGTATCGCAGACTACTACATTGATACTATACTATATTTTTTTATAGCACTTTATATATAGTACAGTAAAGTACAATGATATTGTGTCATATTGTTTTATAGTAAAGTGTCGCATATTATAGTACAGTATGTATACATTTAAGAGACTATAATAGTAAATAATAGCATAACATAGAATGTTCCTTTATGGTATTTCATATCGTAATATAGTGGAGCATAACATGTATGGGTACAGCATAGGACAGTTTAACGTAGTATAGAATAATATCATGTTATCTTATGGTATGTTATATCGTAGTATAGGATAGGTGAAGATCGTATAACATATATAAAAGTATAACACATTATTATATAGAACAGTAGAGAAGGGTTTACTATAGTAGAGATTTTGGGATATTATTTCGTAGTACGGCTGAGCATATTATAGTATAGTACAGTGTAGGACAGTAAAACGTAGTATAAAACCATATAATGGTATTCCTTGGCATATTATTTCGTAGTATAGTATAGTGGAGCATCTTATAATACAGTACAGTATAGGACAGTAAAGCGTAGTATAGAATTATATCCTATATTATAGCATAGTAAATCAAAGGATAATTTAGCTTTTTATAGCACAGTATAACATATTTTCAGGCATCGCCTATGCCTATGCTTTCATCTTTAAGAGCATTAAATTGTCGATTTGCCCTTTTCACTCCTTCGGTAGCTGTCAAATTCTGATAATTACGCTCGGCTTGTCAATGCTTCACACAATCGTCCTTTTTTCGTTGTTGTTGCTGTTGTTGTTGTTGTATTTTTGGTCTGTCTTTGCTAAGCCTTGGTTACGCCTTCGGCTCGTGTCGCTGGCCTTTTGTTGGCCAATTTGGTTGACTTAAAAATAGCCTCGCATTTTGCGCGCATTGATGAACTTTTTACCTTCCGCCGCTGTTGCTGGTGCTGCCTTTTAATTAGCATAATTGGTGATACGGGTAAAAGCTATTCTCCATCTTCTCAAATTGATGTAGATGAATGCGCTCTTATGTGCCTCGTCCAGTTGGCTGGCTGGCTGGCTGGCTGGCTCTGGGCTCTGTTTTCATATTCGCCTGCTAATTAAATGCGGCGCCTAATCAATTAAGATTCTCCAGCATTCTCCAGCATTCTCCGGCATTCGCATGGCTCGACTTAAATTTTACATTAAGCTAATTCAAGCTACAAATTGCCGGCCAGCTGCGCGGCATACCAAAAATGTGGTAAGTGAAAATTCAATTTAAATTGATGTCGACCGAGCCTGACCAGCAGCAGGAGCAGGAGCAGCAGCAGGAGCAGCAGTCCAGAGAAGACCGGACCTGTATCCAAGTATATGCCATTTAACTTAAGTACCTTGGCCACAGGCTCCATTCCCCCAACCCCGTTGCGGCGCAGGGGTTCGCCATCGTTTTGTGGCCACGTAAAATAGGTAACAAGTGGCCGAGCTAGCATTTGGGTCTACCTGGCCCACACGTTCCACACGCTCCAGTCCATGACTGCGAAATCAGCGCCGCAGCCGCTAAAGCAGCAACAATTTTAAAAATTCATAAAATTGTTGTTGGCCTCGACAGGAGTCGGACTGTGGCCAGGACTTGGCTTGACTCCCAG